GTGGGCCCCTCACTCACGACACACACTGAGGTGCTGGAGCGTGTCCAGAGAAGGGCAGTGGAGCTGGGGAAGGGTCTGGAGCACAAGGCCCATGAGAAGCGGCTGAGTGAGCTGGGGGTGTTCAGCCTGGAGAAGAGGAGGCTCAGGGCAGGGAGACCGCTCTCTACAACTCCCTGACAGTAAGGTGCAGAGGGGGGGTCGGTCTCTTCTCCCAAGTGACAAGTGATGGGACAAGAGGAAATGGCCTCAAGTTGTGCCAGGGGAGGTTTAGATTGGATATTAGGGAGCATATCCTCATGGAAAGGGCTGTCAGGCATGGGAACGGGCTGCCCTGGGGGGTGGTGGAGTCACCATCCCCAGAGGGATTTATTTGAGATGTGTAAGGTGCAGAGGGGGGGTCGGTCTCTTCTCCCAAGTGACAAGTGATGGGACAAGAGGAAATGGCCTCAAGTTGTGCCAGGGGAGGTTTAGATTGGATATTAGGGAGCATATCCTCATGGAAAGGGCTGTCAGGCATGGGAACGGGCTGCCCTGGGGGGTGGTGGAGTCACCATCCCCAGAGGGATTTATTTGAGATGTGTGGTCGAGGCGCTCAGGGATATGGTTTAGTGGTGGCATTGGCAGGGTTGGATCAACTGTTGGACTTGTTGATCTTAAAGGTCTTTTCCAGCCTAAAAGATTCTATAATCCTCTGATTCAGGAAACCCTCCTGTACACCACAATCCCCATCTCTGCTGCGGAACATGCCTGCACCACAGCAGATCACCTCTGCAAGTGACTTGTTCTGCTCTGCTATGACAAGTTTTCTTATCCACCCGCAACCTGCTCCTAAGCAGACACTCCGCAGAAAAAAAACCCAAACACTGGCAGGATCTAAGAGCCTCTGTGTCTCTGTTTTAATGGTGTGCCAGGTAAAGGAGGCTCCCTTTTGAGACGGAAAGCTCAGACCTGTTGAACAGGACAGGTTCAAAGCAAAATGTTTCGGTAGTTTTTCATCACACTGTCCAGTGTCCACCCCACGCAGAAGTTCCCGTCCCACCCAGCATGTTTTGTTGGGCTGCAGCTAATTCCACCTGGTTTCAGCCAGACCTGCGCCGAAGCCATCTTCCTTGTCTCACCCCGGATCCGGACGCCTCCACCCCAAGAGCATCTTCTCTCAGGGAGGGGCTGCAGAGGTTCAAATAGCTGTTTCCACTGTATTTTCAGTGGGAGTTTCATCACTATTTGGGGACTCTGTTACACTTCCAAAAGCCCTTTGGAAAGCAACACTAAGAGAGAATGTGAACTTCTGTCCCCAGTTCCCAGCCAAGAAGTAAATAACAGGGTTGATAGTGCTGTTCACACAGGCCAACGGGAGAGAGGCGGCAAAGACAAAAACTGGAAAGTCAAAGAGCCTTAGCAAGAGCCAGTAGCCAAAGTCAGCAGTGAAGAATGGGAAGAAGAAGACAGCTAGCAGGACTACAACGCAGAGCTTCCTTGGGGGATGTTGCCATGAACAGCTCAAGATCCTGGCAAGCAGGGTTAGACCAGAAAAAATCAGGATAAGCACCGACAAGAGGTAGCTCAAGACGAAGACAACAAGCGCCGCAGGGCAGAAGTAGAGGGTCATGGTGAAGAGGAAGGAGAGGGCCCAGAGCAGGGCACACACGAGCGCTGGGAAGCGCTGGGAGCGGTGGCAGGGGCAGCAGGCCGGGGGGAGGACAGACAGGGATGTCATGGCACTGAAGGCTGTCAGGAGGTAGATGCTGGCGGTGAAAGTAAAGAGGATGGCAATGTTCAACACAGTTGTCACGTCCTGTGAGACCAGCCTGTGACAAAGGCTCTCTGGGCGGTAAAATATCCCAAGGGCAATGGTGGTGGAGAGGAGGAAGGTGAAGTCAGCAACAGCCAGGCTTAAGACGTAGATGGTGATGGGGTTCTTGCGGAGGCGGGAGCTGAGGAACCAGAGGACAGCCCCATTCCCCACCAGCCCACAGAGGCAGATGAGCAGTGTGACAGGGACTTTGCTCAAGTGACCGGCTTCACAGTCAGTGCAGTTGTAGTCATCGTCCTCATCGCTCAGCAGCCTGTGACGCCAACTCCTGTTGTACGCCGTCCCACCGGGCTGACTCCAACAAGCAGTGCTGGCTCTTTCCATGGCAGGGAAGAATGCACTCACCCCTGCTGCTTCTGCTTCCCCTCGCACGGCTGGTGGGACGAGATGAAACAGAGACACCTTAGCAACCCTGCTGTCCCCCACACTAGGCTTTCCAGATCTTTGCAACCGTGTTCCAGCTTCCACGTGGGGGAGCACAGAGAGACACGAGGGATGGGAGACATGGGGAGATGGGTGGGAAATGCCTGGTACAAAAGCCTGTACAGAGGTGGAGTGAAAAATAGGGAGATGCCTCCTTCCTGGCTGTGGACAGGACAGATCTGGAGGAGGGAAATAATAAGATGAAAGGATTGTCCTTGGAGATCTCAAAGAGCAACTGGGTTTAGCAGTGGATGTGATGGGGATTCTCAGGTGTCTAATATTATAGTTGGTATTACTAAACTGTGGGGTTCCTTCAGTGGAATACTCATTTCAGTATTCCCCTTCCACCTTTTTCCACAATATCTATAGGTCTAAATATCCTAGAACAACTACTCCCGGATCAGATTTGATGCAAATTGACAAACAGGTTCAAAACCAATGAGGGGAGGCACTGATTAGGCTGGAAAAAAACCCCACACCCAGAAAAGCCTGACCTTTCACAGCCTGGAGAAATCCACTGGAGCAGACGTGCTGCAGGCTCACATCCCCTCGCGCTCGCCAGCTGCCACCCCGGTGATGAGGTTTCCTGGAATTCTCGTTTGGAAAACTGGATGGGAGCCTGCCTCAGTGAGCCGTGCAGCATCCAACATTGGGTCTTTCTCGGGTCCTTTCACAAAGCTCTTTTCTCGGTGTTAGCCAAGCAGGTCGCGTTCTCAAGGGTTCTTGCAAACAGAGAACTATTTCACTGCATTTGACCGTATCGGGGTTCTGGTTATAATCTATTTGAGAGTTTGCACAGGAAATGACTAACAAAAATGAGTCTCAGAAACTAGACCCACGGGAAAAGCAGACTGCCTCCCTGTCAGGTTCCGCTTTCATTTCATTTTAAAGCAACCCTAATCCCAAAATCTTCGTATCTTTGAAACGGCTGAACTTTTCCCCTATCCTTCCAGGGGTGTATCTTTAGGACCCTGCGCTACAAGCTTGGCGTCGCTCCAAACTTCTATTTCTGACTCAGATCTGGGTTTGCCACTCGTACAACGCAATTTCACAGCGATACTTGACCTTCAAATGGGCAGTTTCCAAGAGCATGCTACGTGCATCAAGGAGCTAACTGCATGATGAGACCTGTGCGTGAACCAGAGCGCAGGCAGGCAGGAGAGGTGACTTGGGATTTCAGGAAAACCCTTTTTTTCCTAAGGAGAGGTGAATCAATGTCGCTCACCTGGCTTTAGCCATCTGAAAGTTAAGGGTTTCATCTGAGTTGTCTTCTACACGCCCTGTGTAGCCAGGCAGCAGCCTACAATGGTTTTCTCGGGCAGACCCATGTAATTTTTAGGGAGCTGGGGTTTGGTGAGACGATTCCTAACCGAACCGACAGCAGTGAAGGTGAAATGCCAAAAGCTTCTGTTGCACCCAGGAACAAGGGGTGTTCCTGCTGGGAACTGGCACGTGTGGGGACCCCAGGACCAAAGCAGCCCCCTCTATCCCTCGCTGATGCTGTGTTTGTGTCCCCAACGACCGAATCTCACATCCTTTCACCAAGCCAACCCTTCCAAGTGCAAACAGGTCATGGATAAGGAAAGCATCAAGGTACACCAGCGTGATGCTGTGCAACACAGCACTCACTGCCCGATCTACCCTCTGCAAAAGAGTTGCTCAGGGTGTTTCATCTTCTCCTTTCACGGGCAATGTCCTGAGCATTCACCTAAAATTTTGATTTCCAACACAAGATTTACAGACACCAGTTATTTGTTTGTATCAGGATTGGGCGTGGATGTGTTCACAGGAAGTTATGTTCTCTAAATATTATGGTTCTGGTAGCAGTTGTTTCTGTGTATCAGGAAACCTAACAAAACCAACTGGCAGGCAGAGCTCATCCTCCTCGAGCTATCACCAGCGGGAGCCTTCCCATCCTATTTCAGTCTCCTTTCTTGGGTCTGTCCTGGCAGTTTGCTCCGTGGGCTTCTCCACCTGCAGCACAGAATTGCACTTTCCAACAGCCTTCAGCCCTTGGCTGGCTGGTTGTCCACCCTCTGCCCAACCTGGGAGGGTTGACCACCACTTGCTTCTTTGCCTGTCCCTTCCCGCCTCCGCGGTTACACCCCCTTGGCAGGGGGAAGATTTGGCTGCCGACGGATGCTGCCAGCTCCATCACCCAGAATGAGACAGATTTTCTCTGTCAGACTGTGGCGCAGGAGGGCATCAAGGCAGAGGGAGCTGAAAATGTCATTTCTGTCCCTCGCCAGCATCTCTTCTGGTCTGGGGGCTTCTGAGGATCAAGGTGCTCAGTGCTTTAGTACCAGGCACCAAGGTCCCAGACGAGGGTACAGGCAGGAAGAGTTGGGACATCTCCACGCGAGGAAGCAGACAAGGTACAGAACAGGGCTCAGGATGGTGGCCGCATTAACCCTGAAGAACAGAACAGATGACGCAGGACCTTCTGTACCACATTATTCCCACATTATAAACCAGGGGGCAGCGTGAGGGAATTGTCACAACTCTATAGTTTTGAGGACAAGCAAGGGCACCCCATGGAACCAGCAAGGAAAGAACTGCAATCACCAGTAAGTTACATGAAAGACACTTTTATTAAAATAAGTTAAAAATAAGTTTGAGGTGGGAACCAGCCCTGCCCCTGGAAATCTCATCGAGGGTGGTCGTATCCTAGGCGACATGTGACTGTCCACTGCTGGTCCCACTCACCCGACCCGGCAAGCGGTCTGCCCCTGCGGGTGCTGGCCGGGGTGCAGAGGCAGGGCTGTCCCTCCCCAGGTACCAGTCTGCAGCCACAGGGGTTAGGCAGCAATTCCCATCACAGGGGTCTCACCCACCTCTTGGGAATCTGCCCTCTCTTCAAAGACCCTCTGAAGAGCCACTTTGACGGATCCTCTGAACCTGGACTTTCCGTAGCTCCCAACCAGGACATAAATAACCGGGTTGATGCTGCTGTTGACAGAGGCCAGCAACAGGCAGATTTCAAAGACAAAATTAACGTAGACAAAGAAGTTGAGGAAGATCTGGACACTGAGAGGGATGCCAAAGAGGAGGAAGAAGAAAACAGCGAGGAAGATGACGGTGTACAGCCTCGCTGGGTGGTGTTGCCAAGAGCTACGCCTGAGCTTGATGAAGACGATCACGTTGGAAAGCACCATCAAGGGAGTGAAAAAGCAGAAATTGAGAAAGCACAAGGTTCCAAGGACCCTCCAGCAGTGTTGAGAGTGACCCAGGTCGCACACGAAGTACACCAGCCCAGCAAGGACAGAGGCGAGGGCCCAGAGCAGGCAGCACATGACGGCTGACAGGAGCCTGGGGCGATGGCATCGGCACCAGAAGGGCCAGAGGACACCCACACCCCTCTCCACGCTGATGGCAGTGAGGAAGTAGAGGCTGGCGCTGTACATGAGCAGGACCATGGAGTGAAACAGCGGCAGCACCCGCAAAAGCTCCGGCTGAGAGCAGCTGAGCATGGGCATGTGGTATATGACAAGGAAAGCCGAGGTGCAGAGGAGAAAGCAGGTGTCGGCGACGGCCAGGTTCAGGAGGTAGGCGGTGAAGGGATTCTTCCTGAAGCGGAAGCCAAGGAGCCAGAGGATGGCCCCGTTCCCCACCAGCCCACACAAGCAGATGACCAGCGTGATGCTACCGGTGACGATTTCAGGGACGTGTTCTGCAAAGCACCTGGTCCCGTTGTGTTCATCCCCGTAGTTCGCACTCTCCATAGGCGCCGGGGACACCGTGCTCCAGTCACGGATCACGTTGTTGGGATTTCGGTCCATCCTCCTCCTCTCTCTCTCGTGCTCACCTGGGGAAAGGCAAGAGATGAAGGCAGAATTAGTGACTCTTAGGTCTCCAGTACTGTGAATGTCCCCTGGTCATTCAGTATTACCCCCTCCCCCACAGGCTACAACATCAACAAACTGGAGAACATAAGAGCTGAGCAGAGAATAAATGGAGAGGAGAGGAGAGGAGAGGAGAGGAGAGCAGAGCAGAGCAGAGCAGAGCAGAGCAGAGCAGAGGAGAGCAGAGCAGAAGATAGCATGGATACCAGGGTAGAGGAAGAAGGATTAGGTGGGAAAAAGGCTGAACTTGTCTCTTTCAGTCAAATGCCTCAACCATTGAGTTACAGAGCCCAGCTCCCTGCAACTCTGTGGGTCATAGCTTCTTTCCTAGGAGGGAAAAGCTCCAGGATGGCAGGAGACAGACAGAAAGCTGGAAGAGGAATGGAGGGAGAAGGAAAAGGCATGCAGAGCTGTTTGCCCTTGAAGGACTGAAAAGAGCTGAGGAAGTGAATGGGAAGAATGGAAAGACCGAGGAAGAGCAGAGCAGCGTGTCCCAGTAATAGGAGCAGAGATGAGACCAGGACCCCTCTCACCAGGCGCTGGGGAGGTCCAGTGAGTACAGAATCCTTCCGCAGCTTTAGTATCCCAGAGCTGCGAAGTCCAGTCCTCTCTGTCAGACTTCCACATGAAATTTTATAAAGCTGCCATTCCAAAACCGTTCCAGAAGAGAACTGGCCACCAGGAACAAGGTATCTCCATGATAAGGCTCCTCCAAGGCTGCGTGGGGCCCTGGCACCCTGTCTCTTCCTCAGCTCGAGGCCAAATGGGCCCTGGGAGCAATGTCCGGGGTTTCTGCTGAGGGGCGGGTGGCTGTGGGCCCGCGGACGTGCCAGGGCTCGGTCATCCCTGAGAGCAGCGGAAGCAGATTGCCAACGAGTCACCCTCACGGGACGGGTGTTGCAGACTGAGCTGCTGGTTGCTTCAAACGCTTCCTCTTTGCAAACCTGCCGTCGTGTTGAGCACAAATTATCATCTTCCTTCTCATTTGTTTCTTCTGCACTAAAACGTCCCCGAGCTGTGTCACAGTTCCATCTGTGGGCGTGTGCACTCTTTGCTGTCACGCAGAAGGCACCACCCCCACATCAAGCCCGGGGAAGGGGTGCTCGACACAGAGCCCGCTGAGCTGGGCACCTCCATCACCCCTTGCACAGGGAAGGCGGAAGGGAAGCGGGACGGAGTGACGCAGCCCCAGGGACAACACAGATGCTGGACCAGCCCTTCTGACGCTGGAGGGTGGGCGGCTGCTCCGTGCTCCGTCCTCACGTCCCAGCCAAGCTGAGCCCTTGGTGGGGACTGTTGCCCACCAGTGATCTCTGAGCGGCGGGAACCTCCTCACACCCGTGGCCCCATCCCTTTGCCCTCCTCCAAGCATCTTTTTCGGGGCCAGGGAGATCCGTCCTGCTTCCTTCTGACACAGAGCAAACCAAAACCGATAGCTCAGAGCAAAACACTAGAGACACCCAGAGTGAGGGGAAGAAAATGCAAAAGGCTGGGAGAGCATCCTCCAGCCCCGGGCTGCCTGCACTTCCATCCCAGCTCCCGCCCGGCCGCGGGCAGAGGGGTGGGGGGGATGCGGCGTGATGGGGCGGCTTGGCTCAAGTGGAAGGTGAGATACTCCTGATGTTAGCTGAGAGTCATGATTTGGCATGAAACCCAGGCTCCTCCAAATCCCTTAATAAATAACACTTATTCACATGATAATGAAGCTGGATGGAAGGAGAGCTTCGATGCCATCACCTGCCCCGACCGGCCCCAGCCCTCCAGCAGCCACTGTCTGGTTCCGAGAGCAGCTTCAGCTCCCCGGGGACCCTGGGAAAGGGATGGCACTGCCGGACTTCTTTGTATATTTAGAGAAAGGATGCAACAGAAAACAAAATTAAAAGGAGATTCACGGAGGGAATAATAGCAGAAACGCGCCCAGCATCGATTTGGTTCCGTTTCCCAATTGTTTGTAAATAATGTTAAATATTTGTTTAATGGGGTTAATGTGATAAATAAATAACAAATAGTAAATAATATATGCCACTAATAGTAAATAATAAACTGTGGATGGCAAATAAAAAACTGTGGATGGTAGATAATAAACAGGAATTTTATTCACAGGAATTAGTGAATAAATAAATTATAAAGAATAAATAATTAATTGCTAACACAAATAGAAATAGAAAATAGAAGATAAATTCAGCTATAAATAGATAATAATAAATAACTGTTGTTACTATTATTAACACGATGAATAATGTTGATAGCTGCTGTCGGGCGGGCAGGGGTGTGCATGAGGCTGAGGGATGTGGTTCCTGACGGCAGCTCCTCACCTCGGGGGTCCTGGCACACCCGAGGACGACCAGCGCAGTGACAGTGATGTTCATTGGACTCTTTTCACTTTGTGGCAGCCACTGAGGCACCAAAATCTCTGATTCTTCATCAGGGTGACAGTTAATAACTCCCACTGATGTGGTGGCAGCCGTGCTGGGGATAAGGGTGAAAAGTGCCCTCACGTCCACATCCCTAAAGGCACCTTTTGGCATCTTTTTAAATGTTGAAGTTCCTTCTCTCTATGGTAAAATATAAAAATATTAAGAAACAAAGTCACAGTCTTTAATTAAACCTGGAGTTTTTCCCACTCTGAAGTCACACAGCGCTCATAAATGACCCCTGTGGCTGACCCACAAGTGAGTTCTTAGAAACCCTCGGGTTCTGCCCGGCTGCCTCCGCAGGGAGCCGATGCGTTTCATTTTGGGGCTGCACCGACAGCACGGGCTGTCGCCTCACAGCATCTCTTCTGCGCAGCACCCTTTCCTTCCCAGGACCGCCGTCAGCTTCTCTCTGGAAGACTCCGCTCTGTTTTGTATCCCCTTTTAGATCACTATGATCCCAGGAAAAAACAAATAAAGCTGAAAGCCGAGTTGGAAATGGTGTTTCACCATTCCTGCAGCCGTATCCAGGGGCCAGCTGGCCAAAACACCAAACCACAGGAACATATGTGTGAACTGAACTTAATTAATCAGCATTCCTCTGCCTCCAGCTCCCGCTGCGCTGCTGGGGAGGGCTCGAGCGGAGACACTCATTTCCCAGCAGAAATGTCCTCATACAACCCACCCAGCAAGCACAATAAGAAATTCAAACAAAATTAGAAACCATTCTAACAGGGAAGTAACAAAAATATATGATTGATAGCAAAGGGCAATCCTTTCACCCAGGATTGTTTAAAAGGCCTAAGAAAAGTTCAAGTATCTTAGTGATGAGCTGCCAAGTGTCCAAGTGAATTATCCCGCTGCTGAAGCTTGCAATAATTCCCACTGCCATCTCCAGCTCTCTCTGCCTTTGTCCCAGATGTCTATCCAGCCACAAGTCCTTGGGGCCAGTTTGTTCCAAATTCCCCCTCGGCACATCCCCAGCATCTGCTGTGGCTGCAGAGGAGTGGGCAGGGGGTCCCGGTGCGGGATCCTTTGGGAAGCTCCTGCTCGCTGTAGCAATGTGCTGGGCTGGATGGGAATAGTCAGCCACTGCAGCACCACGGGCAATACGCTCTACCAGCTCCAAACCAGCGCTGTGGAGGGGCTTCTCCTTCATCCCTCGCAAAAATCAACCCAAAGTTAACTTCGTCATGCCAAAACAATGTTAGGATTAGCTAAAAATGCCCTGGCCATGCAATAACAGGCTGTGTAAAATGCAGCGCGGCTGCACGGCAGCTCCGACTCCCTGTTGCTCCCAAAACTTCTGTTCAGTCAGATTTCTATGTGCCAGAGGGAAAACATGACCTTATACTTCCTTAATCCATCTTCAGCCAGTGTGAATCAGCAGGGGTCTGCAGCACGGAACCTCCCGGCTTCTGCAGGGTGTGCTTCACCCTCCATCCTCCTCCTCCGGAAAGGCTGAGCCCAGCGCCGGGTGAGACCCGTTACAGCATCCATAGCCATGAACAGCACCACAGCATCCCAACGGCTCGCACTTCCCAGGCGTTTTTTCCTCACTGAAACATGCCTGAATATGGTTCTGCGTTCATTTCGGCTTTCCCCAGCGAACAGATCTTGCGAACCCTCTGCCCTGAGGAGTCCCCGGTGCCAGGCAGGAATCCATGGAAGCAGGAGGGGAGATGTGAGCTGCGCCAGCACTCGGGGGCTGAGAAAACCCTGGTGTGCTACCGAAGTCCCTTCGCAGAGATGTGGCACGAAGCGATTCCAGCAAGAGGCTGAAAACCTTTCCGTGTGACCGAGGGGCGATGCTGCCTGCCTGAAGTCTGTTTTCTTAAGATAAAAACAGAATTCTGGAGAAAAACTCTATGTCGGCTGTGAAATCTTACCGATCTGTGTCCACGAGCCATCTCTGTCCCTGCGAGCACTTGGAGGAGGGAAGGTGCCCACTGATACGAGAGAGATAAGGAGGCTCCCGCATGACTTCTCCCCGGAGTTCTTTTGCTTTGGAGCTCGCACAGCCTTGAGTGGAAATAAACAGCACAGATCCTTAAGGATTTGCACAAGGAGAAAAGAAAAATCCAACCTCTCTGTGTCACGAGAGAAGGGAGCCGCTCCCTCAAGCCCGGAGGATGTAACGCTGGCAATTAGGAAGTGGCTTGAATTGCACAAAATGAGAGGATTTATTGTTTTAAGTAAAGGATTGTCCCCTGAGGTGTAAGAGCACGTTAAACACGGTCGCGGGTCATGGCACTCAGATTTCATTTTGCTGTCTTCTGTAAACTTCGCGAAAGCCCCGTGAGGGTGCGTGCCCTTCTGCACTAGGCTGTCTTTGTGATGAGGAGTTTATGAGAAGGACAATTCCCCACTCCAAAAGAAGTGGCCATGAGGATCGTGTCCAGTGGCCGCTGGCCGGAGCTGTCCCGTCTCCAGATGAATCATCCCTCCCACTGACAGCAGCGGGGCTGATAGTGCTGTTTCTGTGGAAGTGGTTAAATGCGTATGAGAGAAACCCTCCTCCTTCTTTTCCCTATAACAAAAATAAAAACAAGCTCCTCCCATTCACCCCAAAAAAATCAAGAAGAGGGAAAAGGTGATGCTTCCTGTTCATATGCACTTTACCAGGTAAAGAAAGAGACACAGGGGAAAAAAAAAAAAAGGCAGAAAAGCGATTCCTGTCATCCCCAGACTAATGTCTCCATCCGCTTCGCTAAACCTCCTTGGAAAAAAAACAGTTTCTCTAGGAACCCCACGTACTGGTTTGAAAAGACAGTGCTGCCCTCCCCATGTATGGCAGGGAATTCCCAGTCTCCGGCCAGTTGCGATATGTTCACCTGTATTTCCCAGCTGAGCGGCCGGAGGGAGATGGATGGGAGCGCCGCGGAGCTGAACGGGGTTGAGGTCAACTTGGCTGCAGCCAGCCTGCCCCGGTAATTAACGGCCAGGGAATAGAGGGCTTCCCCCTCATTCCCACCATTCCGTATTGTGGATCACTCCAGTGCCACTCACACTGACTCAGAATGCTAGATTTAGCCTTAAAAACAAAGCAACCAAACAGACAACACCAACACCACCACCCCCCGTCCAAAAAGAAAAAGAACCTTGAAGTCAGCACACAATAATTTCTTTGGGAACAAACATGTCACTTCCAAGGAACCAGGGATGTGCACACACCACGGTGTGCTAAGACGGCTGGAGCGGCTCATTTCTGGATGCTGAAGATATCTGAAGAAGGAGTGGGAGGTTTCATTCAGAAATCCTCCGGGCGTTGCCGTCTCGCAGTGCCACAGACGCAGAGGGTGCCCGTTCCCGGGCTGGCCCCGTCCATCCCACCTGGAGTGCGGAGCCTGGGAATGCTGCAGCAAAGATGCTCCTTCCCTGCCAACTCTGCAAACTGGGAAGCAGCGCCGGCAAAGGCTGACGGGGGTGGCTGCGGGGGCCATGGTGGTTTGGATAATGAACTCAGCGGGGGGATGCGGGAGCAGGGAGAGTCCTGCAGCTCCTGCCAGCGTTCCCAGTGCTCGCGGCTCAGCAATGGGGCTGATAAGTACGGGGATAATATTAGTTTACTATCCCCATTGATATGAAACCCTTGGAAATGACTCCACCCTTACCAAAAATGGATGGTTTTGGTAATGGTGAATGCTAAAATGCTGAAAATGGATAATGGGGTAAATCCAGTGTCTTTGGGAGTTAATTTTAAGCATTTTCTCAGGGTCCCTGTGGACTGTGCGGGCTACCAAAGGAGTGGGATCATGTAAAAACAGCCACAACCTTGAGGAGGAGGATGTGCCACTGGTGAAGAGCTGGGGAGGGCTGCAGCTCACTGTATCAGCCCACAGGGAGGGGGAGCACAGCACCCCGAAAGCTGGTCTGTAATAGCTTTCACTGCATTATTATGGGGTAACAGGATAATTATTCTGGGCTGTAAGCGCTAGTATCGTCATAACCTGGCTGAAAATAACTGTTTGTTGTCCTTCAACTGGGCTGTCAAAGCCCATATCAGACTGACAAGAAATGCTAATTCTTGGTTCCGGTTTGAAGGTGTGCTCCCTTGGGCCCAGGGAGGTTTTGGCGATGATCCCTGCGCTCTTCCCAGAAGGGGAGTCGCTTCTGAGAAGCACCCAGCAGCTCTGCCAGCACTGCCAGCCTCGCCAGTGCCGCCGGCATCACCAGCTCCGTCAGCACTGTCAGCATTACCAGTGTTGCCAGCATTGCCAGCACCACTGGCATCACCAGTATCACCAGTATCACCAGCATCGCCAACATTGCCAGCACCACCAGCATCACCAGCATCACCAGCATCACCAGCATCACCGGAATCATGCTCTGCTGCTGGAGGGGCGATGCCCCCCCCGGGAATGCTGAGCTACAGGGAGCCCTGCAACAGGCAGGGGAGAAACAGAGGGAAGGCAGTCAGCGAGTGGATCATTGTTCAGGGAGGAATGTTGCTAATCAGGAGTAAATTAGGAGTTCACAAAATTTTGCTTGCGGAGCTTCTGGCAAAAGCCACTTCCTTTGTGGGGAAAAAAAAAAAAAAAAGAGCAAGAGGAATAAAAACAAGGAAGCGGAGCTCTGACGTAGCCAAAGTTACAAAACCATTCCCAACTCCCCCGTGACCCCACTGTGTCTGGGGGAGCGGAGAGCCCTGCGAGAGGCACACCAGGGAGAGGACGCGGAGAGGAGGCGGCACAAGGAGACCAGGGACCTCCTGGTGACCAGGGGACTTTCTTCTTCATGCAACTGTCCTGGGAGGGTTCGCTTCAGGATATGGATCCGAAGGGAGTGTGACATGCCAAGACGCTGAGGCTGGTCTGTCTGAGCCCAGCTGGAAAGACAGCCCCTGCCTGCTGCTTCTCCAAAGCTACCAGTTAAGTGCAACGTTTTCCTCCATCCCTACTCCACCTTCCTTCCCTCCAGCATCCACTGCCAGCAGCTACATCCCTCCCACGCTCTCCTGGTGACCGGCAGCTCTCTTCCCAGGTCCTCTCCCCGCTGCTCTGCGCTTGCCTTCTGCATCTCCTGGTGAACCTCCCTCCTCTCCCACTCCCACCCCACAATGTTCACAACTCCCCTCCCTGGCATGTCCCACCTGCTCCCCACTGATGCTTCCCCAGCGCAGGGACTGTGCAGCTCAGCTCCAGCTTCTCCAAGCCACTAACTCCCCATTTGCTCTGCCCGCAGCCGGGGACCACATCCCATCTCCCGCCATGGAGCTGAACCAGACATCCCCACCTCCCACATCGCCCGTGCTGGAGACCGATGGAGAAGACCCGTGCAGGATAGAGGTCACCGACGTGGTC